ACTTTGATCGGACTCCCAGCTAGGAAGTGATTTGTGAAGCAACTGCAAATAGGGCGTTTTGCCCCAACCCCAGGGCAAAACGCCCCACGGCCTGGGGCAAGAAGCCCCATACTCTAGATTAAAGATTAAACATGCTAGCTGACTAAATCTTATATGAGAGGTCCGTTAGACCTTGGGAGGCACGGCACTGCAGCTAGCACCTTCCATCCTATCAGGTGTTCAGCTACGACACTATTGTGTGAGCAGTTTTTTCACCTGCCTCAGAAGGCCAAATAATAAATTATTGCAATGCAAATGTTAACAAAATACTTCCTTTGCCATCCAGTTGCTGAGAAAAGTACATATAAATGCATAGAAACATGCCGTTCGCCAGCTACCGAACATTAGGAAGTGGGTAGTCCGAACAACACATGAGGTAAAACGCCCCATGGGGCTTTTTGCCCCGCGACCTACTGGGGCGTTTTACCCCATCACGTAGTTCGGTCAGAGAACAACGCCTTGCACTCCAGGAAGACATGATTTAACACGAACCAACGCGGCATTATAAGCGTTAGACAATAGTCGTTCAAAATACATAACAGTCGTTAACCTGATGTGGACGATAAAAGAACGCCATGATGCATAATCTGACAACAAAACATAAAAATCACTCCAAAAACACATTTTTGGCTATATCTCCCTAAAGCGTCATCACAATTTCTTTCCAGTCTGCTCATATAATGATCGTATAGTGCACGTTTTATAGAAAAGAGGATGTTTCCCCAGAACCTTGCCAGTTCCGAGAAACATCGGTGAGGCGTTTTACCTCGGCGGGGCGACTTGCCCCGGTCTACCCTATATGTCAGAGAAGTGGGCTATGTGCACCTACATACCAATTTTTAGAAGAATCGGTTCAAAAATGTGGGAGTTATTTAAAATTTCATGACGTCACGACACAGAACGTTTTTGAAAAATGATTTTTTTTAAAGTTCTAGACCTCGTACGGAAACAAAAATAGCACCATTCGATTTGCCGTGAAAAGCTGCATCAGATAGACAGCTTTTTAGGCCTTAACAACCAACTTCAAAATTTGACCTCACTTGACCTCACCTTGACCTGACCTCGACCTGAAATTCATCCAGAGATGGTCCATATCACTTATTGAGTGTGCCTATTGAATTCTATGAATAAAATGACACATAAAACACGTGTCGCACATGTCCTTTTCTATATTTTGTTTTTGGTGACCTGACCTGACCTGACCTTGACATTGACCTTTGAATGATATTGTATGCAATGAATATTGTCTTGGTAGCCTAAGATGACGTTTTGGGCGATCAGACTCAGTCCATTCTTCGTCGACTACGGTGCAAGGCCGATACTGTAGAAACTTGCATTTTGTACCCTTGACCTGGCCTTGACCTGACCTCTGACCTACTTAAGCAAAAAAATTGGACTCTTAACCCTCGCCGGACCTATTGATTTTCTACATACGCGCCGGCCGAGGGGGGAGGGGCGGGTACGATCTCCCTCGCCGTTTCGCCCCTGGTGGAGCTAGCGCGTCACAGAAAAAACGAGCGTGTGCGCCGTTACGAGACGCAGAGATTGGTACCCGATTTTAAGGTCCTAGGTCAACCGGTGACCTCTGAGGTCAGGTCAAATGCCCCAAGGAACGGTTCAGTTTTTGGTGAATAACTTCGCCAAAAACGGACGCAGAGCCGCGATTTTGGCAGCATTGTGTTCGCCTCGATCAGGCGCGTCGAATGATATATTTTTTGTTCGGGTCAGGTCAACTTAAGGTGTTGACCTCAGGTCAATGTCAGGTCAGCACCCCCAGGTCACGAAGTTGGTCGAAAGAGGTCATGTCGCATATCATTCGATTCGGCAGGTCTTCCTGAGTCCATTGGTGGCTTTCCCGACTCGATAGCTTAATTTGATCGGGAGGTATTGACGAAAAACTAATATGACCTTGATGACGTCATAAATGACGTCACGCAAGGTCAACATCGCAAAAGTGACGCATCTAACGTTGCAAGGAGTGCATCAAATCACGATTATGTGTGCTTGAGATAGTTGGAGATCGTTCCCGGCGCCAGAATAGCAGTTTTAATTTTTCCCCATTGACTTAGTATATGGTGAGGTCACGAAAATGACCTGACCTCATATGACCTTTAGGAAAAATCCGAGATATAGAAGTTGCCAGACTCGTAAAGGATATTAGACCCTGCAGGTTTCATTTCCCTGTGAAAGCTGTTCTGGCAGTGAGGGCGTTGCGAAGTTGCGACATCTGAAGACCGTGCAGAGGTTCACTTATGACGCCATAGGTCAGTGACCTGACCTGACCCAAAAATGCGGTTGGTGTCAAAAGATCCGGCTTGAATCAAAGGTCAGGTATGCCAAGTTTCAGCTCTCTATCGCCAGCGTATTCGGAGCTATCGCAAAAAACCCTATGGGGGGGGGCAGCACCCCCCTCGGCCGGCGAGGGTTAAGATTTGCCTTGTTGAGAGCTTTCGATTGCCGTTTTCCCCGTCTTCCTTTCTACGACCATCGGTTCGGAAGTTAGACAGGGGGGGGGGCAGAATCTGCCCCCCCCCCCAGCAGGTCGCGTATGGCTGAATAGCCCAGCGGGGCGCGGGATATGTTAGTGGCCGAGCACCGGGACATGTGACCTGCAGACTTGGCGCCTGTGCTTCCCTCCGTTTGACTTGAAGTGTCGCTGAAAGATTTTTGCCTTTCCTGAGTTTGTCGGCACTTCTATAGAGACTTGGTCGGCACGTGGCACGCGCCATGTGACACTGGGTGATCTGAGGCATGCACCATCACCTGCCTCAAGGCATTACGCGTCGAACGGTGCCACCAGCATCTCGATCCGATCATCCGTTTAGACGCAATTCCAATTGTATTGGCTCGATGACGTTTCAGAACACGTTTTTTTTTTGACAACGCAAGATGGCGCCTTGTCGGCTTCACTTTCTTCTATAGGAGGTGCATTGGGATTGTCAGTCCAGTTTATTTACACGTCCGTGTCCTTGTCTCTGGCTCTGCTATACAGTTACTACATAACAGAAATGCATAGAAATGCATAAAAAATTACTGTTCGCTGGTTGCCGAACATAACGAAGTACATGGCGAGCAGCACATGAGGTAAAACACCCCACGGGGCTCTTAACCACCCGACCTACTGGGCCGTTTTACCCAACCGCGTAGTTCGGTCAGAGAACAACGCCTTACGCTCAAGCCAGATAACCTTAACACGAGCCAACCCGGCACTCACAACATCGAAAAATGCTTTAATTCGGAGATACCTATGGAATTTCAAACTTGCAGTTTTCGGATTCTAAGGGGCTAATGCATTGGAATGCCCCCTTAGAATTTGTGACGTCAGCGGAGATCTAACGATTTTTAAATCTTAGATTAAAACCATCGTTAACACGTGGTGGTATACACTGCTTTGCGTGCAACGTCTGCCGCACTTCGAGGCTGCCAAATTATTGCTTCCAAATAAGTCGCTAGGAACAGCGGAGATCCCAAAATGCAAACAAAAGTAAAAGCCTAATATCTTGAAAACCAGTGAATATTTTTCGGTGAAATTTGGTAGATATTCGTTTTTGATCTTTCCGAACCAAGGGACATCACTTTTATGCCAATTCATTAACTTTTTGAAGGTAGGAGGGTCCCTTTAAGGCCTGGCTACACTATCCGTTTTATGCCTGCGTTTTTTTGCGGGTTTGCGTGTTTATGCGTAATATCGTTCTAGAATAAAAAAACGATATTACGTTTATGTGACGCTTTCATATAAGATTTTAGTTGATATAAAAGTTATATTAGCTTTTGTGCATAACTTATGCACAAGTCACAAGTAATGTAAAAGTTATGTTATTTATAAGCTTTTTTTTCTAGAACGATATTACGCAAAAAACGCAAACCCGCCAAAAAAAAAAAAAAACGCACGCAGAAAACGCATAGTGTAGCTGCACTGCTAGGCCTTTAGACAATATTTGTTCAGAATAGGTAGTCGTCAAGCTGATGTGCACCATGTAACCATAACAGAACGCCTTAATGCAATATCAGGCGACAAAAAAACTCATAAAACATATTATTGGCTATATCTCCAGAAAAAGTCATCACAAGTTCTTTCAAGTCTGCTCATATAATGATCATATAGTGCACTTTAAGAGCAGAAGATCTTTGTTCAGAGCTTTGCCATTGCCGAGAGACGTCGGTGAGGCGTTTTATCTCGGCCCATTTTCTGGTCCTGCCCCGGGCCTTTGCTTTTGAATTGTATATCTCAAACAATTGTAAATACAAGTTTTTAGTGAAAGAAGCCTATGATTATTTTTCTTCATGTGCTTTTATATAAATAACTCTTCCCGAAAAAAAAACTTATTGGGAGGCAAATGAAGCTCTTTGCACAGCGTTACTGTTCCCAAAAAGGAAATTGTAAATGGCTCAATACCCTATTTTCGAGAAGTTTCAATTCCAACGAATAAGCTGCAGCATTGGGACGGGTCAAGCGCTGACCAAAGGGCGGGGGAGGGCATATCAAGCGTTTTACACTGGCAGGGGTCGGGCCAAGCGCTTTTCCGGGTCAGCGATCATGTCAAACGCTGCTGCGTGGCAGCGATCAGATCAAACACTGTTTAGCGGCTGGGTGAGGTGAAGGTCAAACAGTGCCCAGTGGCAGAGGGTCAGCCACTGGCTAGTCACTGTTGGTGGTCCGATCGCACACTATCCGGACAGGGCAGGGGTCAGACAGAGCTTAGCGGCACAGGTGAAATCAAACAGTTGTTAGCAGCAAGAGTGCAGCCGAGCATTGCCCGATGGCGGGGTCCTGACAATCGCTGTCTGCTGGCGGGGTCCGGTCAATCGCTGTCTCCTGGCGGGGTCCGGTCAATCGCTGTCTCCTGGCGGGGTCCGGTCAATCGCGGTCTCCTGGCGGGGTCCGGTCAAAAGGTCAAATACTGCCGGCAGTGGCGGCCGTTAGGCTGGGCGCTGTCCAATGCCGGGTGTGTGCGACTCACCAGTCGGCGGCACGAACGCAAACAGCACCTTCCAGAACACGGTGATGAAGTGAAGCACGTAGTCGGCGCAGCCGGGCATCCGCGCGCCGGCCGCGCCCGCCTCCTTGGCCTCGTCGTCGCCGTCGTCGTCCCCTGCAGGGCAATGCCACAAGTCAGGAAAAATGCTGCCTAGTTCAACATTTTCCAAATCACCGGCACATAAATCGAGAACAAATACAGCTAGAGCGCTGCGGAAAAGCGCATTCGATAGCCCTTTTAACCTTCTTTCTGGTATGTGCCTTCCGATTTGACCTCAGATCAACGGTTTAGCATCCAGAGGGCAAATACTAAAATTTGTCAATAACTTGACTCAAGAGAGTCGCGACATCACTTTTGCTAGCATCGGGTTCCACTCGTCGATACGCGTCGAATTTATTATAATCTGAACTTGAAATGTCAACTTGAAAATTTGGCCTTATGTCAAGGTCATGGCCTGACCGGAAAAAATGATGTTGCATATCAGTCGATTCGTATCATCGAGCCGAACACATCTAAGGCGTTTTCGCCACTCCAGCATGTCTCTATCAGGAGTTATTAGCGAAAGACTATTAAATACCAAGGGACATATCGAAGGGTCAAGGGAGCCGTTTTACGGTTTAGTAAGTCATGCTTACTTGTAATTCTGTGCATAGAAGTGTTACGAATGACGTTCGTCCAAAAGAGGCGACTTTCAATTTTCTCCCATTGATTTTAGGTACAATAGAGAGGTCACAACTTCTGAGCTAGGGTAAAGTGCCTAATTAGCGACCCCCTTAATTTGAACCGTTATTGCTCACCCTCTATGGGTGCCACTGTATTTCTGGCTTGGTTTTTGGGGAGATTGATAGTTTTTCGATTAATTTATTTGTAGTGAGCATCTTGGCAAACCATTGGAAAAAAAACACGCTAATAGGGAACTCGTCCCGATTAGCGAACGGGGAGGGTCGCTAATAAGTCAATGGGTTTAGGGGAGAGTGGGGCACATTCGTGCAAAATGGATAAATCCATACCTATATCTGTTCTTTGGTTGGTGCAAGGGTAAAACTGTTGATTGTAGCATTAAAAGGAACTATTACAAATATTTTCCCTCTTTAAAAGTTTTCCTCTAAAATTATCGCGTCTATTAGGAAAAAATGACTTTTAATAACACTGAACGTTTGCACGAAACTGCCCCAGGTATGGGGCACTTCCGTGCACCCTGCAAAGTTCGAGGAATTACCGAGCATTACCAGAAATTTACCAAAAGAAATTGGCAGGGGGTCATTTCACTAGATTCCCTTCGACAATAATGCATTGCACAACAACTGTAAGAAAGAATTGACTGGCAACGAGAATGTGCCAACTGCCGGCCATCGACCTGCCTCCATGACCTCGCCGAGGTCGCGTGAATTACTTGTCACGACGTCGCAAGCAGCCGATACTGAGTCAAGCGAGGGTCATAAGTGAAACCTACTACAGATAAAGTCATAAATCGCAAAAACGAAAAAAAAATATGCACGAATGTGCCACTACTCCCTAGGCAGTTCGTGCACGAGCCTGCCCCACAACGGTAATTGTACCTAATATATTTCAAAATTTCTTGTTGGAAAAATGACATTTTTTTCCACAAACAAGTTTGCAGCAGTTCCGTGAATAGAGTGAGCTATTTCGCCGCCAATTTAAAAAAGCTGAACCACATTTCAGAGTCAGGATCACGAAAATGGATGTTATGGAAAAAGTTTGGAAAGTGCACGAATAATATAACTTTGCGTTTTTATCAAGCATGATAGCAGAATACATTGTTGTTTTCTACAGTGAACGAAGGGCGACAATAATAGACATATTTTCATAATTTACTTCGAGCTCGGGCAGTCACTCGTGTTCCCATAAACTGCTGAAAACGAATGTATGTACCCCATGCACGAAAGTGCCCCACTCTCCCCTACATGTGAGTTTCTGTAAGGAACGAGCTCTACTCAGCCACACATATCTCATCTCATATATTTAACACATTCATTCAAAACAAACAATCGGTGTCACCTCGATTGGCGCAAAAGTGGCGCAAAAGTGCCGGAGCACTTAACTCGGGGCGCCTCTCGAGTACTTACTATCGCGCTGGGTGCCGCTCACAGCCTCACAGCCGCTGCCCGCCACCGCGCAGGCCGCTCCCAATAGAAGTACTCGTAAAGGCGCCGGCGCCAGGGGCAGCGCTCTGTGACGACCGGTGTCAAAGGATTGGGCGTTAGGGATAGGTGGCAGGATGGGAAGGAGAAGCAAAGCGTTTGGTGGCATAGATGAATTGGTACACCGCCCGTGCTACCTCGAATTCATCCCTGGGTCGTACCGTATTACCGTGTAGTATGATGTCTAATTGCTCCTTGTGTGATAAATTGTGTATGTCAATGCCTGTTATAACATTTATTATCTTTGTCATTCTTTCTCTTTCTTGTGTGTATTTTGAACATTTTAGTAAGTAATGTCCCATGTCCTCGTTAATTCTGCCTTGACAGTGGTTGCGATATGGGATTCAGTTTTTTATTTTGAAATAAATGGGACTTTAACTCTAATATCCCAACCCTCAGACGAGTTAGAAGTGTGTTTTCCATTTTCGAACCATAAATGTAATACTTTGGTTGTTTTTCTACATTTAAGTGAGACTTGAGATGTTTTTTAAAAGTGAGTAAAGTTCTGGTCTCCCTCAAGTTCTCTGGCAGATCAATTATTACTTTAATTGTACTAGGAAGAAACGAGTTTTTCAATGGACAGGTTTTGGGATAGTTTTTTTTTTAGAGTTTTTATTGTGAGAGTTACGAAGTGGTCGGTTGTTATTTCTTCCATCAGGGGGCAATAGTTCTTTGATATATGTTGGAGTATCGTCGAGCGTCAGTCGTTGGCAAAATACAATCTTATGGATTTCACTTCTTTTCTTTTATGAAGTCCATCCTAATTCTCGTCTGAGATTGTCTTTCGGAGTTCTAAATAATGTCGCAGTCACAAGTCTGGCCCCTCTGTTCTGAAGTATTTCAAGTCGTAAAGTATCGCGTACTGTTTTTTTTTGTGCTCGACCCGGGCTTTTTTGTCGTTAGTAGCACACATTCATACTGGGTTAGTACATTATACATGTTACAGGGAGTATGAGAAATCAGTTAGTTTGCAAACTCCCTTGGTAGTTTGCAAAGCCCCTAGTTTGCAAAGCCCTTAGTTTGCAAACTCCCTAGGGTTGTTGCAAACTACCTAGGTTAAAATACGAGTACAATATGTAGATAAGATGCCTTTTATGTCTTCATCATTTTTCTGTATCTTCAAAGCTGTAGGCGTGACAGCTCTTCTCGCGAAGCTCTTTTTTTGTCGAAAATGGCAGAACATGACGTCATTCTGAGTTCTGACTTCATTTGTGGCCAACCTATTATAGCCTCTGGATTTTTTTTTTTGGCCACAATGTGTAAAATTGATACCCGGAGAAGTCCTGAAAGTTTGGTGGCGATATCTGCAGCCGTTTAGGAGATATTGACGGAAAAGGACAGGGGGGCGTTTCGGCCCCCCCCCCCGTTTCCTACGAAGCACGGATTAGAAATCAGGATGTCATCTTCAGTCAACCCAACGCCCCGCTTCCACCCGATCCTGGTAGCCAGCAGTCGACTGCCCTGAGCTTGACAGGTCAGGTCAGTGTGTGCTTGCGGGATACGGATGAAAGGCGCTGTCGGGTCACGGCTGGTGGACGGTGCTCAGTGCAGGCGGGTCGTAATTCCAATGGAATTTTCGCAATTCCAAAATTTTCGGTTCCGATTGACACCACTAATCCCTACCTACGAGGTGAGCATGGCGGCGACCATCTTACCTGCCGAAACTGTCACCGCCTCGATGAACTGTTCCTTCCAAGAGGACGTGCTGACCAGGAACGACGCGTTGGCCCGCTGCACCAGCTTGTCGACGGTGTTCTGCAACACAACGCCGGCCGTCGGCGACCATTGACACCACAGCACAGTGTCACGGCATTGGCACACAACCACAAAACCGCGGTCGTTCACAAAAAGTCAGACACCGACTCAACCTACCAGCACATGAGCACTGATAGCGATACCGACACCGATTCTAACACGGACACCGACACTGACACGGACACCGACACGGACACCGACACGGACACAGAAATATACACAGACACCGACACACAGACACACCGACACCGACACCGACACGGACACAGACATATACACAGACACCGACACCGACACTGACACGGACACCGATACGGACATGGACACCGATACGGACACAGACACCGATACGGACACTGACGTCTGACACGGACACCGACACCGACACCGACACGGACACAGACACCGACACGGACACGGACACGGACACCGACACGAACATGGACACCGACACTGACACCGACACAGACACACATACACACCGACACCGACACAGACACACCGACACTGACACCGACACGGACACGGACACGGACACGGACATATACACAGACACCGACACACAGACACACCGACACTGACACGGACACCGACACTGACACGGACACCGACACGGACACGGACACGGACACCGACACTGACACGGGCACGGACACCGACACCGACACTGACACCGACACCGACACGGACACACCGACACTGACACGGACACGGACACAGACACACCGACACTGACACCGACACTGACAGACACCGACACGGACACTGACACGGACACCGACACCGACACGGACACGGACACTGACATATACACAGACACCGACACACAGACACGGACACGGACACTGACACGGACACAGACACACAGACACTGAAACTGACACCGACACACTGATACCGACACCGACACCGACACCGACACGGACACAGACACCGACACAGACATATACACAGACACTGACACACAGACACACCGACACCGACACGGACATATACACCGACACCGACACAGACACTGACACTGACACGGACACGGACACGGACACTGGCACCGACACCGACACTGACACTGACACCGCTACCGCTACCAGCACCGGCACCGTTGTCGACGGGACCTACCATACGACCTTGCTCGCGCCCGGCTCACCGAGGATAATTTGAACTGAAAGTTGAACTGCCGCAGTTAGATAGATGCCGGCACGGTCGTCCCGGGTCTAGCGTGTCCTCCTCTCGCCAGTTATCAGCTGGCTAGGAACGGGGTCAAACGACGTGGAGCTTCCCGCCCGCGAACTCGCTGTCACCGATTAGGATGACAGCGACTACTAGGATTCATACGCTTAGTTTATACACTAGGCGACACTAGACACTACGTATGACACACCGGTCGACACTAGGCCAGTAGTCATCGCCAGGGGTGTAACTTTATGATATTGTCAGGGGGGGGGGGGGGGGGGCTCAGCAGTCAGTAGCAAAACTTTCCATATTAGGGATGTCTGTACGTACCTACCTACGGGTTTTCGACAGGGGGGACGGATCGGCCGGCTAAAAACTTAAACTTATAGATATTGTTACTGTACTTTTTCAGGCCAATGCACTATATGTCTAATGGTATGGGCCAAATGCCTACACAGTACAGTCCGAAGTCCGTTTCCATTTGACACCGTTAACGGTAAAGCTTTTTGTCTTCTACGAGGTATAAATGTTTACAATTACATGTGCCACCAGTCTGATAGGTAATGCCATAGACCACTATATAGATATACCTATATACGATATAAAGTGGTCTATGGTAATGCATATACATGCCTGCGTCTGCGTGTGAGGGTGCTTAATCACATGCTTGATGAGGGTGCTTAACGAGGGTCACAACTCACGATCTGTTTTTGACTCGAGTATGAATTGGCGGCGCGAAGCTCCGCGAAAATTGGCAAAATCACTTGGCAAAACAGCTCTAAAACATGACTTTTGCAGCCTGTGTAACAAGTTTGATGCCAGAGCACCTAAGATCTGATCACCAAGTCAAGTGGCCTTGCATATAAAAAAACTGAGGCCCTTTCAACCGTATAGCTTATATCCTAGAAGTTTGAGCTTGTTTTAAACTGCTCAGCACTCAGCAGTGCGTAAGGAATCGAAATCCGGCGAGTTTTTGGAAATTGAAGAAACTTTTTATGGATATCCCCAATATGTAGCGTCCAGGACCGCTTTCTGGATCCACCACTGGTCAAGAAACATTCAGTCAAAAAAAAAGGCTCATACCACAAGTCAGTTTTACCGTGCTGTGGGTTTTGGGAGGCATGCCTGCTGTCAATGGTACAGCAAGAGTCGATCAATCGACTCTGCAGCACTGCACAGTAATGTAAAGGTAACGGCGCAAGCAATTCGTGTAATTCGGATTTTATATTTGTGATCTTACGAAGGGACAATGGAGAAGTAAGCAGGAAATACAAAAATTGGCCTAGGCATTGCTGGATGGACCCATTTGTTCGGAGCAGTCGATCGCTTTTTACAAATCTTTTTATCTCAGCCTCTGAAATAATGGGACGCCCTCACGACGGTGAAGCTGACTGAAACTCAACCCATGCGCAGGTTTAACCCTATTAGTTGCAGGCTCCTGGCTACCCCCTATTAGTGGCAGGGGGGGGGGGCTGTTTACGACCCCCCCTTGATATCTCGAGATCTAACGGGCCGATTTTCAAAATTCAAACGGCATTCGATTTCGCTCAGCGAGATCTACATTTCTAAAAAAAAATGAAAAATGTCAATAGGGGGTAGAGGGGGGTAAAAACGGGCAAATTGCAAATACATTTTAGACTGTTTATCACGGCCAGGTTTCTGAACCAATCTTAACGCAACTTTTGCCGATCGATAGAGAATGAACCAGGAATTCACATGGATCCTAAAAATATGCATTTTCAAAAATCATAGGCGGATACAGATCATTGAGATTGGGGGTACACAAAAAGTATAGTAAATAAGGTTTTTGTTGGTACTGTTTCTAAAAAGGGTGGCAATGGTATTGTTATGTTACAATTTTCTTATGAGAGAACGACTAAAATTGTATTGGTCATGCATAGGCGGTGTCAGGGCACCTATGTTGGGAGGTAAAAAATAACCCCCCTTTTTGGACGCCTGGATCCGCCTATTATAGCAAAAATGTGTCAAAAGAGGATGCACAATAAATTTGTATATGTTATCACATGATACCTTTCATTCACTGTTCGTAAAACTGGTGCGGCATCGTGATCTTCGCCCAAATGACTCGCTTCACGAATAGGACCCCCCAATTCCCAGTGCTCTGGAGCCGCCCCTGGTAAAGTTATGAACTTGAAATTTTCAGGGAATGTGCCCAATTTAGTTTTAGGAAAAGTCAGAAAATTTCAGCATCGTAGCTTCAGCGGTTTCGGAGATATTCCCGAAAACCCTGAGGGGTGGATAAAAACAACCCCCTGCCACTAATAGGGTTAACCACCAATCCACATCTACCCAGTAGCGACGGAACACTTTCATTTAAGGGGGGGGGGGGAGGGGGCACTGCCGACTTTTGGTCCCATTCTTTCCATGCAACGCCCATGGGGCTCATGTTAACCCTCGCCCGTATGGGGGGGGGGGGGGTCGAACGGACGAAACAAACCCTTCGTTTTTTTTGCGAATACTCGCGTAAACAGCGGCCGATCGCGGCGAAACTTTGAGTAGGGGAAGGAGGGTGAATTGCGCCACCTTAAGGAAAAACGCTAATTGCAAGAAAACCGCTGGAGATATAAGCATGCACTGGTAACCACTTCAAAGAGGAACTCATTAGCTACGATTTAAGAGCCTCCCGATCAATTAAGAATGTTTCGTTTGCTTCCGACAGCTGCTTTTCAGAAACATGCAAAAGGGCGCATTTACCGACAACTGCTGTAAATTGCGCCAGGGGGATGGCGCAATTAGAATCCAATTGCGCCCTATACTTAAACATGGCCAAGCGAATGAGACGGAATGCATACACCCCGGCAGTGTAATGTCATTGCGGCTTACTTAAACATTTATAATGTTAATCAGGCTGGATAAATAATAAATGTAGATATAAATCGCGATGCTTTTGCCCAGGTAAATAACTTAACATGTGTCCGTATGTTTGTAAAAGTGCAACGAAAACGTTTTATGTAACCGACTAGATATATGTGAAAGTATGGTTAAATTTTCAATCGTTTCTCTCAAAATTATTAATTTTTATCGTTTCGACAACTTGTTGACATCAGTTTTTACTTTTTGATCATAGCTGTCACCTCTCACGCCCGAGTCCATGTTGAAAATGCCGTATTTTGTCAATTACACCACAGGTTGGCAGCCTAAATGGCAGCTGCATTATAAGTTTGACGAGAGAAATAATTTGCGGACTGGCGACAGCGGGCTGCTCCCCTGCCTGGCATTAAACTCCTTCTTTATTGCAATCAGTTAATGGTGCATTCATACTGTCGTGATACAATAGCTACACCATTATTCTATTTGCGCCCCCATGGCGCAATTGCCATGGGCGCAATTAGAATTGAGGTACTTTTTAATAAAAGCGTAGAAGTTGTCATAAATGTGCTGAAGGAAGTTTACTGTTTAAGTGAAATATAATGAAAAAATGGGCTTTCTTTCTAAATATCACTCCGAAAATCACACACGTATCAAATATTTTTATAGCCAACGGTTCAAAATACTGCAAAAAAGCTAAGAAAACGCCGTAATATCTTTGATGTCGTAACTGAGCCCTGCTGATTGGCTTCGTCGGAGAGCTTGGGCCATAAAATGAACTATCAGGTGGTGAAAATTTTGTTTTCGAACACAACATTATAAACATGCCCCTACCCTCGCGTAATCAATTTTACACCTACCCTGAAAATTGCATGATCCTTGTCCAATTGACCTTTGACCTGTGACCTACTTTTTGAGACCGTTTGGCCAGAATCGCGATTCGGCGCATGTCGACTCGCATTAGCCGCGCGTTTGCAGTCTTTTCGTGGTTTTAAGCG